ATTATTTCTTTAGATAAAAAATGTGTTCTCTCCCTTGAAGTATATAATCAATTCTTAATATGGTTTCAATCAGAATCGGATGATAGTCATTTCCTAATTAATTCTTTCGTTCCTATTCTTGTTCCAAAAGCCCATCCGTGTTTATCTTTTGATTCTTTGATTGTTTGGTGTTTTTTTGCTTTCTAAATTTTTAATTTTTTTTTTTTAATCTTAAAAAAATTATTTTTTGATTTTTTAATTTTTTATTCATGTTTCTATTATTGTATTGAGTTGAAGGTACTTTTACTCCAATAATAAGTGTTCTCCTCTTGTTGAAGCGTAAGCAATTCATTGTTTTTCTGTTCAGCATTGGAAATCATATATTTATTTAACCGAGTGAGGATAATGATCAATTCCTGATATATTAATTCACTTTCTCCTTTATTTTTGTATTCTTTGTATTTTTTTATTAGTCATCGCACAAAAATTTCTTTTTGGTATTTGTCGTTATTATTATTGCGCAAAAAATTTTTTTTGGTAGTTATTTGCGTAAAAAAATTAGAGTTTTTTTAAAAATTTTATTTGTACTTTTTTTTTAAGCCGCTTCTTTTATACTATTTATGTTGAAAGATAGCACCCCCTTTCACAACAATTTATAATGTGTAACAAATTATTTTCAATTGTTTTAAAGTAGGAGGTGCTATCCTCCAGGGGGAATGTTATCTTTCGAGATTTTATAGTAATAGTACAAACGATATTTTAATCTATTTTTGGTTGGCAAGAAGCAAATAATTTTTAATGATTGCACATGGGGTTTGTCTTCTTTTGTTTACCATTATGTAAAATTTACAAACGAATTAAATCCAGTGAATTAAAACAATTGCAGCCTTTTAAAAGATAAAATTTTATGCAAAATATGAATTATATAGAATTTATTAATGTAGATTGGCAAAATACTGTAAAAATACTCAAAATATTCTTCATTTAATATCAATTCAACAACAACAATATGTTTCCAAAAAATAGCAGTGTCAAATCACCCAAGATCAAATGTAGCATTGGAACGTTATCAATCATTATTTGGCCATAAGAAATCAAATCCAACAACAAAAATAAATAATTTTAAAATCGTCTCATTCATAATTGAAAATAGAAGTTGTCGTTACAATTTTTATTATATATATCTATGTTAAAATATATTAGAATATATATTTACATCCTCAAAATTATTTAAAAATTAAAAAATTATTTTAATATAATTTTGATCCTAACATTAGTAGCTAAGTAAATGTGAAGTGAAGAGGGATTAAAAGAAAAAAAAGCAATAATAATAATACAAACAATCAAAACAATCAAAATTTTTATGGAATAATATAATAATAAATATATATTTTTACAACACAGTTTAGGTAAAATATTAAATATTATTTTATTAAATCATTCAACTTTCCTTTTATTATCATCGCCTTTTACATTAACATAACCATCATCATCATTACCCCCCTTTTCCTCCACCACCACATCTTCATCTTCGTCTCCATCTTGAACAGTGGTGTGAAGATCTTTAGGTTTCTTTTTAATATCATCATTATATCCATCATTTTCATATTGTCCCTCATCCTCATTATAATCATCATGCCCAATATTTTCCCTTTTTTTCGTTTCTTCCCTACCAAAAACCGGAATGAAACTTTCCACAAACCCAACATCTGCAAATAAATTAGGAAATAACCATATCCCAGGTGGTGCAACAACCAATGTAGTTATAAATAATACCAATCTAAACAAAGATACTAACATCAATACTCCGAACAAACTTAATATTGCTACAGAAAAATACCAAACACCATTCCGTATTGAAGATGGCCATAGTGGAAATAATACTGCAACAAAAACAATAGAAACCAATGACAATCCACCTAGTATCATCTTCAATTGAGATCCTTGGTAGAACCATACATAATATTGATCTTCTTTCCATGTTTGCATTGATGTTATTGCTAAATTTTTAATTCGAGATGATGATGTACTTCCTTCATTACCTGATCGTTCAGCTCTCAAATAAAATGTATAACTAAGAAGTTCTTCAAGTACACCATTTGCTTCATTTTTATTATTGATTTTAGGAATGTTCTTTTGTTTAGAATATGCCTCTTTAAGAAGTTGTTTTATAGCTGCTTTACCTATAATTATAAACAGTTTTTTATTTTATTATTAATCAATTTATAATTTGAGGATTACAAACTTTTTTATATAAACTTTTGTTGTAAAAATGTCAAAGTGAAATAAATAAAAGTATGGTTTTTTCCTTACCTTTAAAATAATCAACTCTTTTGCCATTCAAAATTCCTTGACGAGTTTTTACAGTAGACCTTAAATATTTTGCTACGTTTAAAATTTGTGGGGGGGCTTTAGC